CGTGGGATGGGCCCGGCCACGGTGTAGCTGCACCTGTGTTTGTGGTGCAGCCGCCAGAGGCTTTTCCTCCCCTGTTGACTTTGGCCAGCGAGGAACCATTGGTCTGCAGGGTCCCCCTGCTCTGCTCCTCCTTCCCCCACACACCCGCTGGGGATCTGCTCGTCAGATCACCGCTTGGGAGGGTCTGGGAGAAGCGCTTTCCGCTTCCTGTGGGGAAGGATGTGATTAAAGCCTTGTAAATAAAAGGCTTGGCTCAGAAAACGCCTGGGTGCCTTCCGAGGCATGCCTCCGACATGATGCAGACGTGAGCAGTGGCAGCGTGCCCCATTACAGAGGGTGCTACCTTCTGGTGGCCTGACTCAGGGTGGTGAGAAGCAGGAGATGGGGCACAGTCTGATTACGCACTGTGCTGGCCACGGCCCGTCTGGGACCTGTCAGAGGGGTCCCAGACCCCAGGAGCAGTGACCTCTTTGCATAGACACCTGCTGGTTTCCACGTCCTAAGGGCTGACTCAGGAGGGGCTGACCGGCCACGGCCAGGACTATGCCTTCTGGAGAGCTGCCACCAAGGTGGGCACCCAGGTCAGAGCACAGCTGGTCCCGGGTGGCCCCTGCTCTACCTGCTCGGAATGATCCCCCCCGAAGGGAGCAGACCTCACTGCTGGCTTGCACAGCATGATTCCCTCCTCTCTAGGGAACTACCCCGCTGTGGGTATGTGCTAGGGGAGAACTGTCCTCTTCACATGTTTGTGCAGCGTGTTACCAGGGATCCATCACCTGCTTATCCTATATGAAGTGAACTAGTGTCCACGCTTTGTCCTAAGCTCCTCTTACCTTTCTAATAATGAAGGGATAAAAGCTACTTTGGGAGAAGAGAAGGGCCAACAGTGCCTGTGGAGGGGATGAACTCCAGCAGGAGCAGGGAAGTCCTGCTGTTCTGCTTCAGTAGGGAACAGGCAGTTGTCCTAGTTTGCCGAGGGTATATCTGGGCTCAGAAACCAAGGAGCACACACTCGTGCAGAAAAACATCTAAGAAACTGCAGCTTGACCGACTGAGACTTTGGAAGATAACACCAAAAGGCAGAAGTTGCAATCCTCCATCCCTCTCCGTTCTGATGTTCCCTCCATGCACAGGCCATCTGCTCCGTATCCCACGCTCTGGCATCGGATTTGATGTTTCTTTATAGCTAGAGGGTGTCTTGACCAGCTTTCCAGTGTGGTCAGAAATCTGAGGTTGCACTGGGTTAACACTGGAGTCAAATCATTTACCAAGGTTCCTCAGGAACACAAAGCTGGCTTTTTAAGGACACCCATGCGGGAAATAGCTGGCAGCACTGCTCTGTCCTGGTGCATCTTTCATTTTTGCAATGTGATGCTGGCCAAAAGCAGCCTACAGAGAGATAGTGTAGCCCAAGGAAAAGTACATTAGACTAAAAGTCAGGGGATATGATACAAGTATATAGGAAATCTGCCTACATGTTGCCTAGATAATCCACTTTATGATCTTTCTGTACCGTTTACCAGGTTCTGTCTGATGTGCGGAGAAGTGATGGTGGCACGCGTGCTCCTGACGGTAAGGACCATCAGGGCCCGGGCAGATTTTACCGAGGAATAAGCGGTATCTGCGTCTTCAGGGCAGTTTCCTCCCACACCACAGCGTGGGGCCGAGGTCTGAAGGCTATGCCGGCCCCAGGCGCAGAGAGGCGGCAGGGATGCTGGAGCCGACTCCTTCAACCTGCAGGCTCCGGCCGAGG